CGTTGTACCAAGAAGTTTACGAAAAGATATGTTAAGCAGAATTCATCATGGTTATTTAGGAGTAGTAAAATGCAAGATCAAAGCAAGAGAAATATTATATTGGCCAGGGATATCGAAAGAAATTGAAGATTTGGTACTGTTCCGGTTTGACTAGAAACTTTCACTCTGCCGAAGTTCCAGTTTGATTAGAAACAAACTTGTCTCTGCCACGGAATGGCAACAATGAGAACTTGACTTTAGATTTGTTATGACGCAGCTAGAACGCTGCTCATGAGATGTAACATTAGATTCGATTCTAGATTCTAGATTTTGTTTAGTATTTAATAAATCTTTTAAAACTAGATTGAGTATTTGATCATAGAATTATAACTGAACCACCGCATGCAGAAATTTAGATGTTCCATTTAAATACGTCGTTAGATTCATAGTTAGATGCGTAGGCTGCGCCATTCGTTGATTCGATTAGTGTACATTAGTGCGTACATAAACATTTTTGGTGCTACGTGCCGGGAAGCCGGCTAATATTCGAAATTATGGATTCGTAAGTATGGATTAGCACGGCGTGAAGTGAAACAGGTAGGATAAGTTTTCTATTTTAAAGTGTAATTATGGAAGATCCTGTCGCTAAGCTTAAATCGAAACGCAAAGTATAAAGAACCGCAGTGTCCAAAGGTACTAAAAAAAATTGAGACAGAATTAAGCAAAGATGACGTTAGTATAAATGTAATAGAAGAAACTTTAGACATATTAAGCTAAAAAGTAAAAACTCTGAGTGATTTAAACACTCAAATAGAACGTGATTTGAAGGTCCCAGAGGATGAATTTGAACTTGAAGTTTCATCCGCTCTAGAATATGAAGAAAAAATCCAACTGTGGCAATTTAGAGCAAGGAAAAAAAATGAGGGAATTCCACAAACTCGAAAATTCGGATAAGGAAAGTATAAACATCCCTAATGAAACGGCTATAGATTCCAAACTGGAGAGTAATAAATTTATTCGCCTTCCAAATTTGACTATCTCTAAATTTTTTGGTAATTCTAGCAATTGGCAGGAATTTTGGAGTCAATTCGAGGCAGCTATCCATAACAATGACTCATTGTCGAAAGTAAATAAGTTCAGTTACTTAAAGTCATTACTAGGTGAGGTAGCTTATAATGCCGTTTCCGGACTTTCTCTTACAAATGAGAACTACGATTCAGCTATAGAATTGTTAATTAATAGGTCTGGGAGAAAAGATTTGGTAATAAATGCTCACATGAGTAAACTGTTAAATTTTCCTCTGTTAGAAATGTAAGGGATATAGAAAATCTTAGGAATTTATATGATCAGTGTGAAACTCAAATTAGATGTTTAAAGTCAATGAACGTGGTATCAGAAACTTACGGTAGTTTACTTTGCCCAATATTGTTAAAATTAATTCCATCAGAGATTACATTAGAATACAGTCGCAGTAGAAACAGTGACCAAACATGGAACGTTAACGAATTAATGGAATTTATTCGTAAAGAAATAGAAAGCCGCGAAAGAGCTAAGCAGTTAAATGCGAGTAGAGAAACAAAAACAAAACAACGAGTGGAAATGATTCATAACTGGAGGCATAAATCAAACGATCGTCTCTGCTCCGTTCACGATAATGTAAACAACAAGCGCAATAAAGAGTTTGAAAAGAGTTCGTCGAAAACGTATGAATATATTGCTCCCGTCGCTAGAAGTAAATGCATATATTGTGACGAACTACACGATTCAGAGCGCCGTGAAATTAAAACTGTGGAGGAGAAAAGAAATATTTTGAAAAGTCAAGCTCGATGTTTTTTGCTCCTTAAATCTCATCATAAAATAAAGCAGTGCAAGGAAAGGAAAATGTGCGAAATATGTAATAAAAAACACAATAGGCCTATTTGTTTCCAACTCGAAACCAAATCGGAGAAAAACAAGGTCGTGTCGACAATTCCATCCAGTAAAGAAGATGATCAGACTAGTTAATTAAAAACCGAAACATTCCGCAGTGCATTGCTACAAACGTGCACTGTGATAATACGTCCACTTTCTGATAAGGATAATTTAGAACCAGTACGTATTCTATTAAACAATGGATCGATGAGAAGTTTTATAATTCGGGACATTTCAGAGAAGTGTAAATTACCTGTTATTCGAAAGGAAACTTTGTCTGTATTTGCCTTTGGGGTTAACCAGGCAACAGAACAAATGTACAATGTTATGAAAGTCAAACTAGAAAACAGAAGTAAACCGTCCCTAAATATAGAAATTGAAGCTTTAGAATCTAACCAAATATGTGCAACTAATTTACCTTTCCCTGATATCCCAGTTTCCAAAATTAACAAAGAGTTAATTGGATTACAGTTAGCTGATTCTTGTGAATTCAGTGACAAAAATATTGCTGTTTTGATCGGAGTAGATTACTATCATGAAGTAATATCATGAAGTATAATGAAGTAATATTACTATCATGAATAATAGTAGACTTAAACGTTTTAAAAATAAACTTATGGCTTCCGAAACAATATTTGGATGGTGCCTTCAAGTCTGTACTGATTCTAACGGTGAATTGTTAAACATGGACATTATTGTTGACGACAAATTGGTCTCAACACAGTTAAAGCAGTTTTGGGAATTAGAAACATTGGGGATTGAACAAGGGAAGGAAATAAGTAAAATAGATAATGACATTTTAGAGAATTTTAACAGAACTATCAAATTTAAAGAAAAGCGATATGAGGTTAAACTCCCTTGGAATGAAAATTCGTCTGAATTAAAAACGAATTATGTAAATGCAGAAGTTCGCTTTAATAAGCTGGTTAAAAGGTTTAGAAATGATCCACTGCTTCATCAGCAGTATCACTCAGTTATAGAACAGCATTTAAAAATAGGTATAGCTGAGGAAATTGATCCAAGTTATGAAGAAACAGGAAGAATTTATTACATGCCTCACCAGCCAGTTATTCGACCTGATAAACCCGTGAGAGTTGTATTTGATGCATCCAGACATTCGAAAAACGAATATTCTTTAAACGATTGTCTCTATTCCGGTCCTAATTTAAATCTTCCATTGTTTAATACAATTTCGCACACATAGCATTGCATTTACTGCAGACATCGAACAAGTCTTTCTCCAGATTTCTCTGTCACCTGAAGATAGGGTCGCTGTAAGATTTTTGTGCCAAATAACCTTGCAGATAAGGATGGGAAACCTAACACGAAAATACTTAGGATGACTCGCGTTTTGTTTGGAGCTACATCCAGCCCATTTTTGCTTGTCGCTACTATCAAACATCACATAAATACTTTTAAAGAAACAAATCAGAAAGCAGTTAAACTATTGAACGAATGTTTATACGTAGACGATTTAATAGGTGGGGATGAAGACAAAAACGAAGACAAACTCATGTATGAAGATATTAGATATATTTTGAAGTTTGCTGGTTTCAACATGCGAAAATGGAAAACAAATTGTGCGAATCTGCAGGAAGTTTTTGACGAATACGAAAATGGTGAAATCCTGAAAGTTCTGGAACAGAAGGTATGGGTATATAAATGGAATTACAAGGAAAACATTCTGAAGATAGAATCACAAAATCTAATTAATCAAGCTCAAGGGAAAGCGAAGCTAATGACAAAAAGAGAAGTTCTCAAAACCATTGGAAAGCTTTAGGATCCCATTGGATTTATAAGTCCATTCGCTATTAGGGCAAAAATACTAATGCAGGAAATTTGGCAACTTGGGTAGATTGGGATGATCTGTTACCATTGGACTTTGAAAACAGAATGAAAAAATGGACTAATGAACTGTCAGCGTTTCAGGATGTAAACATTCCACGACATTACTTCCGAAAGACTAACAAGTCTGAATTGAGAGACATTCAAATGCAGTGCTTTACCGACGCAAGTCAGAAGGCATATGGAGTTGTGATATACCTGCGATACGTCACGATGGACAGTGAAATAGGAAGTAGTTTTGTCAATTCCAAAACCAGGGTAGCTCCACTGAAGAAGCTGTCCCTTCCAATATTAGAGCTGATGGTGGTGCTCATCGGAGCAAGATTAGCCTCAAATGTGAAAGGACAGTTAGAGAAAAGACTCCAGATGAATGTATATTTTTGGTCAGATTCTTCTGTGACGTTACGCTAGATAAAGGGCGATTTAAATAAATGGAAACCATTCTTTCAACATCGAGTAATGGAAATACGAAAGAAAACACCACATGAGTCCTGGAATTATTGCCCTGGAGATGAAAATCCGGCTGATATGCTGACCAGAGGAACAAAGACAAATTCCACGAAAGGAATAACGTTATCTGAACTACGAAATAGTGATATGTGGTGGCATGGACCTAAGTGGCTGTTACAGAGCATCGATTCGTGGCCTAAACTTGCAGAATCAGTAAGAGATTTCAAAGATAATGAAGAGCTTGAAGGGAAGCTATTGTGAACTCAACAGCCACAGGTGAAAATTCCATTGAGAACGAATTCATTAAAAGGTATTCATCATTTAACAAATTGATTAGAGCTACTGCATGGTGTTTAAGGTTTGCGAACAACTGTAGAACCAATCCACCATTAAGAAAAGAAAGTTTTTTGAATGCTTCTGAACTACAGAATGCAACAAAGGTGCTAGTCACTTAATTTCAACCTGAAATTAAGTGCCTGCAGTCGAAATGATCAGTTCCAAGTAATAGTAAGGTTTTATCCTTAAAAATACTCGTATATCTGGATGAAGATGAACTTTTACGAGTTGGTGGGAGACTACGTTTCTTCAATATTTCAGAAGACCAAAAACATCAACTTCTGTTACCCAAAAGACATCATTTCACTGAATTACTCATAGATTATTATCACAAAAAATCTCTTCATTCGGGCGTTCAAACAACACTTTCTCTTATTAGACAATTATACTGGATACCTTCCGGACAAGACAGAGTTAGACGCGTGATAAGTAAATGCATGACGTGCTTTCGGACAAGGAACCAAACCATAAACCAAATGATGAGGGACTTACCTAGAGATAGAGTTGTAATAAATAGACCATTCGAAAAAATAGGACTGGACTTTGCAGGTCCAGTTATCACCAAGCCTAATTTGAAAAGATCTAGAGTTACTTTAACATCATACATTGCGGTATTTATTTGCTTTAGTACAAATGCTATTCATCTAGAAGTAGTATCGGATATGTCTAATGAAGCATTTCTAGCATGTCTTAGAAGGTTTATTGCCAGACGATCTAAATTATCTATTGTTTGGTGTGATAATGCTACGAACTTCAAGGGAACGAAGAATGTTCTTGATGAGCTCTTTAGAATTTGTAGATCGGATCCTATTCAAAGCTTTAGTTCCGAAGAAGGTATGACGTGGAGATTTATTCCTCCTTCTTCCACGGAATTTGGCGGATTATGGGAGGCTAATATAAAATCAATAAAGAGAATTTTGACAAAGGTCGCGAAAACGACAATTTTTAACTTTGAAGAGCTGTATACATTAATTACACAAATAGAAGCTTGCTTGAACTCTCGACCTCTGTCACCTATTTCGGCTGATCCAACAGATCTTCAGCCTTTGACTCCAGGTCATTTCCTAATAGGAGCTCCACTTTTGTCGATACCAGAACCGAATGATTCTGTAGATTCTTTGACCTTCTCTTCTAGATGGACCTTAATTCAAAACTTTAGAGCTCATTTCTGGAACCGTTGGAGCGTGGAATATCTTAATCATTTGCAGAACCGTTCAAAATGGAATCAAGTGAAATCCAATCTCAAGGCAGAACAACTAGTCTTGTTAAAGGATAAAAACAAGATACTCATGAAGTGGACTCTAGCTCGCATTGAGGAGATCTTTTCTGGTCCAGATGGACTAGTACGAGTCGTAGACGTCACAACCTCAGATGGAATCTTTCGTCGAGTCGTCTCCAATATCAGTCCACTCCCATTTCCAAATAATGTTGGACAATTGTCCAACGGTGGCCGGGATATTCCGGTTTGACTAGAAACTTTCACTCTGCCGATGTTCCGGTTTGATTAGAAACAGACGTTTCTCTGCCTCGGAATGGCAACAATGAGAACTTGACTTTCGATTTGTTATGACGCAGCTAGAACTCTGCTCATGAGATGTAACATTAGATTCGATTCTAGATTAAATTAATTTGTTTAGTATTTAATAAATCTTTTAAAACTAGATTGAGTATTTGATCACAGAATTATATCTGAACCACCGCTTGCAGAAATTTAGATGTGGCATTTAGATACGTCGTTAGATTCATAGTTAGATGCGTAGGCAGCGCCATTCGTTGATTCGATTAGTGTACATTAGTGCGTACATAAACAGGTACTGAATTGTCAAACATGTTTAAGTTTACGAAAAGCTAATACTAAAGAACCAAGGCTATCTAAAGAAATACCTAATGATCCATGGGAAGTATTGGGAACAGATGTCTTTTACTTTCAAGGAAAGGATTATGTAATAGTTATAGATTATTTTAGCAAATATGTTGAAATTTGGAAGATTTGTCAAGTGTAGCAGTGATAAAGCAATTGAAATCAATTTTTGCAAGACATAGTATTCCGAAAATAGTATATTCGGATAATGGTCCACAATATAAATGCAGGAAATTTAAAGACTTCGCAAGAAAATGGAATTTTGAAACCAGAACTTCAAGTCCAAATTACCCACAATCTAATGGAATAGTTAAAAGACATATTCAAACTGTCAAGCGAATGTTAGAAAAAGCTGTAGACAACAAGGATCCATATTTAGTATTACTGGAATATCGTAACTCTCCTATTTCAGATGAAATTAAGTCACCTTCAGAATTGATGTTTGGAAGAAAAGTAAATGGATTGATGCCTATAAAAAGAGAATTTCGTCCAAGCTAAACGATATGAAGACCATAAACAACATTTACTGATGAGACGAACCTTACAAAAAAGTTATTATGATAGGAATGCAAGACCGTTAGAACCACTGAAAATAGGTGATCATGTTTACATAAAAGATAAAGGGAAAAAACTAAATGAAAGAGGGAAAATTATAAAAGAAGCAGAAAGACCACGTTCATATAGGATTATAAGAACAGATGGAAGAATTGTAGAAAGGAACAGAAGAGACCTTCTTAAAGGAACTAATCAGAAAGAGTTTGGAATACAAAACAACTATGAGAATGAACCCGAGATACCTGAGAATAGCAGGAGGCACTACAAATTTAGATGTGCCTGTAAGTTTTTCAAAATCTACCAGAAGTGTTGTGTCACCAAATAGTGAAAGAGGTATAGTATCATCAAATTTTTCAAATGGACATAACTACGTTACTCGATTTGGTAGGACTGTTAAGAAACCTTATTATTTAAAAGAATGTGTTTCATTTTATTATTATTTTTTTTATAAAAAAGGGAGATGTTATATATGTAACTGCAACTGTATCTATTATTATCTTTAATCATAACTGTGTCAGGACTTGTGTTTCTCTTGATTTGCTTTGGAAACATGATGTGTCCTGAATAGAAACACGGAGCTTACTCAAGCTATGTTCAAGATTGAGTGGAATAGACGACACAAGCAGGAAGGTTATACGAAACCCTTTATTTTCTATACTTTTACAAGTACTCCCGAACTTCGGGATACAGAGACCAACCACTTGTGGTCTGAACATAAGAATATAAAACTACTAACTAAAACTCTTAACTAAAAAGCTAACTTTGAATTAGTATACAAATGCCTAGCATTAAGACTGGCCTTTATTTAAAAGGGTACGTATGTAGTACGCCGAGCTGCTGAAACTACAATATGTTTTCAAATATCAAGAGGGCTAAACCTCTGGCCTTAAAGGCAAACAGCAACCGAGTGAAAACTCGTAAAAACTGCAGTGGCAAGCGGCTTGCTTCCTAAATCTCCTCCTCTCTCCCACTCTTGGCAAAAAGCCACAACTTAACAAGACAATTGCAAGTTAGCAAGACAATTTGCATAAACAAATTAAAGCATTTAATTCTGGCCGGAAGTAGAAAATAAGAAGTGATAGTACAGTTTTAAAATACAATAAACGTTAGTAAAACTTAGGATCCTTACAACTGTAATATAGGATAGTGGATGAGCAATGTAGAATAAACGATGTTTGTGTATATCTTGGTAATCATCACTGAGCACATGCCCAACATATAAGAAACAACACATTAACTGCTTTATACTGTCTTTTATTTGCATATCTTGGAGATGTAGAAGTTAAAGGTTATATTTTTTTACTGTGAAACACGAATAAATTTATTTATACTTGAGTTCAGGTAAAATACTAATTATGTTACCTTAAGAACCGCTTCCTAATTTATCATGAGAGGGGAAATTTTCAATGTCTCTGAGATTTAACACAAATAAACGTGATAATGCTGTTATCAGAAACACTCTTTTTTTTTTACCCACATATATATCTTTACTTTTATTTATGTCTAATTGAGTTTATTTACTTAAAACCTGCTATTAATGTTATATATTTATAATATCCATTTTCATAATTACTCTCACTTAAGGGGAAAAAATTATGAAATCTTAAATAATCGTAACTTAGAATTTAAGTTATTTTAAAAATATAGTTTAAAGTACTGAAATTAATTAAAGCTATTATTAATTATGCGTATTTAGTAAAGAGAAAAAAATGTATTATCTTCTGGTTTTCAGGAAATGATAAAATACTTTAGAAAAATACAAGGAATACAAAAATTTAAAAAAGGAGAAAAATATATTAATTATTAAGCTTATTTTTCTACATAAATCAATATGTAACACAAGGACATATTAACGACATTTTCACAACTGTTGCAAAAAGGTGGAATTTTGCGAACATTAAGACATCGTGATACGATGCTTTCACAACCAAAATATCACCTGCGAAAGACGCAACAACGGCGTCTATGCGACAAAAGCCTAATCTACAAAGACGTAATAAAGGCGTCTTTGCAACGGTTGCAAAACAGTGAATGTTCGCGGACATCTGGGCGTCTTAAACACGACATACTGCAACGTTTTTGCAACGACATCCGCGACGAGTTCGCAACGTCATTATGACGTTGCTGTGTTACTTGGGGCTCATATATTTAATATTTTTCATTTTCGGAATGCGCAAATCTTTAATTTCTGTGTATTCATTATATTTTTCAAGTAAAATAATTAACAGTAATTTAGTATATATCAGAACTTTTTACATAAGAAATATGTATAAACTGAATGAAAATTAGATGCATTATTTATAGTATGCACTCAAAAGTCAGGTTTCCCTTGAAATTCCTCCATGAAAGCATCTTTTCCTTTAGGCATGCCTTACTTTATTTGCCTTGCATGCCTTACCTTATTTAAAAAGGTTAACTTGACCTATTTGCCTAATCACCTAAGTATTTAAACATCCATAATTTTATATTTACAGTTAGCCATCAAGTTTCAAACTTTTGTCTCAAAACATTTGTTTGGATACATTCGTTATCAAATTCAAATTCTCTAGTAACCATATTTTCGCGGAGCATTCAATACCTCCCTTAGCGATTATGCCCAGTTTAATAGTTCTCTGATAATATAATAAATAACAACTTTCCATTTCACATTTAAACATTAAGATCATTGTCATCGGATCACAATCTTGATTTCTTTACTCTGCATAATATTGCTTCATTTTTTAAAACAGTTAAAATGACTAATTGATCTGAATTTACAAATGCAGACATTAAACAAGTAATTAAAAATATATAAATTATACAAATTTTCACACTTACACTACTTAGTTGTAAAGAAACTGAGGTTTAGTGTTATGCAGTACAAAGCCCGAAATCCGGACTCGTCGGGACTTCGGCGATTCCGGATTTGGGATTTTTCCGGATATTAGATCATCAGTTTAAATCTAGTAAGATGGCACGTAGAAATTATAAAATTAAAAATATGAAATCATGATTTATGAAATAATGAAGTACACTGGTTATCATAAATTAAAGAAAAATCACGATTACTGAAAAAGTTACATGTAGAATTTTATGAAACTTACCCACAATATACAACACATAGTAAGGTATCAAATAAGATAAAAAGAAACAGACAATTATGGTAGTATAGAAATTAGCACTTGTATAAAATGAACAAATCGAAGGAGTCGGTTTGCTATAAGAAAAGTACCTTCAATATGGAATATGGTCGCCTCTAAAAGCAATACAGCATATACAGCGATGCGTGATGCTTTGAATTATGCGGTCTATCAGTTCCATAGGAAGCGAGAGCCATTGCTCTTGCAAAGCAGTTGCAAGCGCGGCAATGGTCTGAGGGCGTATTGAGAGCAGTTAGACGTCTCTCTAAAGCATCCCAAACGTGCTCGATAGGATTCAAGTCCTGGGATGGAGGTGGCCACTCCATGCGCATAATTGTTTTCTGTTAAAGATAATCATTTACGATACGAGCTCTGTGTGGTCTTGCGTTATCGTCCTGTAACAGGAAAGCATCACCTATTGCCCCGGTACATGGGCGCAGATAATCATCAAGGATGTCATCTCTATAAACCGGAGCATTCACGATTTCCGTTGGAAAGACATGGAGGTCTGTGCGTCCACCCAAAGAGATGCCACCCCAAACACAGACACTGCCTCTTCCGTATGCATCTCTTTAACGGAAGTTTGACGGATGATAACGGGTTCCAGGTTCTCTCCATATCAAATAACGCCTACTATCGCTTTCTAGACTAAACCTAGACTCCTCCGTAAAGAGAACAGCCCTCCACTGATTAGGTGTCCAGTAGACATGTTGTCGTGCCTACTGCAAACGGTCCCTCCTATGAAGTGACGTGAGCGGCACGAAAATGGCTAGTCGCCTCGCATACAGACCACGTTCCTGAAGCCTTCTACGCACAGTTGACGTTGACACCAACCTTCCGGTGGCTGCAGGAAGAGAGGATCTAAGAAGAGTCGGAGTAGCGGTTCTATTCCTGCGTGCACATAATGTCAAATATAGATCATCGGCGCTCGTTG